TACATTCTCTATAAAACTATGTCTTTTTCCAAAAACATCTATGTTTCAACAAAAGGGCAGAATTGAACGGGGACCGTAGTAAGTAAATAGGTCAAGACGGTACTCGCTGTTATCTAATTACCTGCTGCGAAAGCCATATGCCAGTAATTGTGTGTGTGGAGTGTGAGATGCAATCTCTTGATGAGGTTCTATTCATAATTTTGGTCAAGGATAGAGAACATATTGTCTCAATAAAAACCAATTGCATGTACATAAATTATAAGTAGTGTTATTGTTACATAATTAATAGTTTATATAGGTAGTTGACAACATGATTTTTATGTTAATTCATTACTCATCCTGGAATTGTGTTTATGTCTGATTACTCGAATTTGTGTGGTGTGATAAAGGATGAGAGGCAACAATATGAACAAAGAGAAGCAAATTGGGCTAGATGAAGTACAAATTTCAGTATACTTAGGTCAATGCTATCTGTGCACTTAACTGTCTTTGTCATCAGTATGAAACTAGACGATGAAATAGAGAAATTTGGTGCCTAGCGTTATTAAATATAAATCTGATGTTTGATTCAAATTATTGCTCTCCTATCTCACTAATTGACCGCCCCCGAGCCCTTTTAGTCCATTCTACAAGAGGATTTCAGCCCGAATGCAGTGATACCCACTGATTGCCATGGGAAGATGGACAGTATAGGGGAGCTTGTCATGACTGGTATTTAACTTCGTCTGCTTTCCAGACGAGTGTGATGGAACTAGCTTATATTGTACAGCCAGCTGTATAGAATTAGTTTGGTTGCAATGACGTCAACATATGTACTGCTTAGCAATTAGCGTCTATCGCCATGTACAGATTTGTGGCAATGTGTGCCTAGATGTAAGCTCTCGCATACGTTGGTGGTCAACATCCAGTCGCGAAATTAACCACATTTGGTTGTAAATTTTCTGCGTTGGGCAACGAAACGTTATAATTGAACATAGCCCCGATGTGGCTAGTGGTGCAAAACATTGGAGTAAATGGTCTTAGTTAATGATATTTCATCTTTCTTTAATGTGTAATGATCATCTGAGAATACCTATGAAATTCTGATATTTTTGTAATGATACTTGATAATTTCCTGTTAGGGCAGTCATATTCCCGATTCTTAAGTTTAGCGGGACTAACTAGTCAAACCATGTGTGTTGTCGCCTGCTAGGGGTCGCAACCACTTTGGTTTCCAGTTCTGTTTTCACAACTGGTGCCTTTGAAACGTGTGCTAATTTTACATGTTCGAAGTCGAAATGGGTGAGCTTTCTGATTATGAATGTAGCGTGAATGAGTACGATGCCAATGACCATGAGTAGGGAAGTGATTTTTTTTGTTTTCAAATTTCATGAAATAATAAATCTCTAAGAATACACCTATAAGAGTCTGTTTCCTGCTTTTCATAATATGATGAAATTGATTTCGGTGCCTGTAATACCTAGTGTGGCAAGTGAATTATATGCATTTCTACAAGCCGCTGCTGGGTCCAATGAGGGTGAAATTTTAGGTTGGCGGTACTGTCCAAACATGAATACGAGGATCACGCATAAACGATGAGAGTGTGATTCAGACATTGAAGGGAGTGACTGATCATCGGGTAGCCGAGTGCCTGGCTGATGCTAGCGTATGCTCCATAGACTAGGGCATTCAGCTTATTGTCTGAGAGAACGCAGGTGTCGCAGTTGGACGCATTTAATTTCACTCAATACAAGTGTGGTAAAGATAAAAAATAGGATAAACGTTCTATAATTATTTTGTACATATTTAAAATATTTGAAATTCATTATTTTGGATGTCGTTTCCTAGTCAAGGTCTTCTGCGATACAGTTTTTTATGAAGTCTTCCACATTTTGTTTGTTCTTTCTTGTATTTATGTTTTAATATATTCCAGCCCAGTTAAAAAGAACTTGTCTAGCATAAGATATTCTACAGTTCTTTCATTTCACGAGATTCACTTGTAAGTTTTTTTGTTGGATAGCGAGACATTAAAAAGTATAGTTATTGCTGATATTAAGTAAAGCCGACAATTTCAAGAGCCGCATATGCTATTATTTATGTTGATCCGTCAATGGAAAATCAATAAAATAAGTCATTCTGACTGTTTTACAATTACAGTGAAAACTGTTTGTAGCAAGGTTTATTTAGGACCAGGAAATTTTTCTGCTTTGTTTAGTAGCAGGTACATGTTATTTGTTATTATACAGTCTAGACCAATAAATCAATATTATAATCAAACTCAAATTGGGCTACGCGAAAAAGAATTAGAACGTTTTGTTATCAGTGCTTTTGTTAGCATTTGTTATCAGAAGTTTGAATACAAGGAACTTATTACATGTGTGGGGATACTGTTAGTAATCTCCCGTTGACTATACGACTGTTTAGACACTAGTTTAAAGGAGCAGACTTGAAAGAGAGAAGAGAGAAGAGAGAGAGACGAGAGAGCGTTGTGTGGGCGCATGAAAGGATACAATGCGAAAAAGGGATAAGAGGGAAAAACAATTTAAAAAAAAGAGAAAGTTGAGATGACGTGTATCAATGTAATCTGGATAATAATAGTTGTTGATATATATAATTTGCAGTAAAGGCAACGGGAAAACAGTTTTAGTGTGTTCTCGAATAGGATGT